ATAACACTACCGCGTTCTCAATCTACACAAAAATGAATTGTAAAAGTAGCTAGACAACCCCCTAAGTTAATTCATACCTCAATCTTATCCAGCATGGCCGGGCTTGCCCTCCCTGTCCTAATAGAATTGAAATTGGATCGTACGGTTTCAAGAGTCTTTTCCATCCTTCCTTCCTGAAATACAACTAACATTCTCAATACAAGTTTGTTCTTCCTTACCCAACGGAAAAATCCAATGAGCCTTAAATCCATCCAACCTAATTTCATACTACATGTTTTATGAAACGATATCATAATCAAGCTTACAGTATCTTTCTTTATCAAAGACTTCTCTGCTTCTATTTCTTCGATAGTAGCAGCCCTTACAATTCCAGCTCTGGACATGAAAAAGATATTAGAAGGTAAATCAGCCCACTACACAACCAATAACTCATCACAATTCACTTAACCATCATGTCTGCGCTACGCAACCCAAATTCCCATTGCATTCTCAAATTACGAGGATACATCAACAAATATAAAGTCTCAAGCAACAACTGAGTCGTGTCGTTTAAAGTATATTGTTGTTACATGTTAAGCCAACAATGCAATTCTAACCCAATTTTCAATCCCATACAAAATTACAAACAACAACAACAACAACAAGCCACAGTATTAATTCTGTGGCACAAATAAAACTTGCCTCTTTTGGAACAATTGCTTCTTCACAACAATGGGATTGCCTGAAAACTTCGCAGCGCTGTCCTCAGACCTCACATAGCTAGCAGATGAGCTCCATGAGCACATCTTAACAGTTCTAGGCTGGCATTTCTTACAAGCCGGTCCTCCGCCACAAGAATCTGCAAAATTTTCAACTTTTACAGCATTTAGCATGCTAAAACAAAACAAAACCGAGCTACAAACTCAGCCCACTAATTTATGGAGGATTACAGTATTGAAATCCAAAAGGGTCCATTGGAAATTCGAAAGCAAGTAACAAAGTTCATCAAATAATACTGACTAATGGGTTATGTACCTCGAATCGAAAGCAGGGTTTTGGGAGGGTTTTGCTTGGGCTGGAGGACGAAGCGGACAGGGGTTGCTGGGGAGCAGTGGGTCGCCATGAAAGCCGAGGACTTTTGTTCGGATTGAAGCTTTTGGGGCTGAGATATTTATCTCTGAAAACATATAACAGTGAAGTAGTGACTGTGATGCAATTACAAAATGGTCGGAGCCTGTGAAAGATGACAAGGAAGAACACTGAGGAGGAGAGGAGGGAACGTTCTGGGGCTGGTCTGGATAAGAATTTTGGCCTTCGCTATTTTAATTTTGGGATTTGTTTGTATCCTCGTATTAGATAATCCAAAGCCGGGATGGAGATATCCTGCACTTGTGCGGGAATGTACGAGTTACCAAAACCGCGGGGCTTCCATTACTTTTTCTTTTCGTATTATGCACCCGTATTCTGATTTTCACGCATCTATTTTAAATTCTTCCGCACGGCTATTAATTAAATAAATCAAATGAAAACAACGGCTCAATATTATATAAGAGAAAATAAAAGAAGTGTACTTTATCATTTTCTTAAGCACATTTATCCCTAATTTAAGGCATACACACAACACAAAGGCCTTATTGTAGTAGAAAACATCTCTAGCATTCAAGACATGGTCCTACTATCATTATCCATCCAGTAGTGTCTTTCGTTACAAAAGAGTCTTTCACATATGGTTGGAGGCTGGAGGGTAGGCCTGGCAAACGGGTCGTGTCTGTCGTGTTCGTGTCGTGTCACATCCGTTAAGAAAAAAAAAAAATTTTAAATTTGCACATACCACATATTGCCACATAAATATTACTTCAAAACATTTTTCGTTTAAGTAATATATCTACACTTGAAAATAAGAGCCTAATAAAAAAATAATACATACACTACTAATCTATAACAAATATTAAATGTGCAAGGATATGCAAAATGAAAGAGTTTTTGTTTTCAAGATTGTAAGTCTTTCTCAAACGTTTACACCTCCATCTACAAAATCTTCAATTTACATCGATCATCATGAAATTGTATCGGAACTTTGGTTTGATCTATTGCCTTCAAGAGTTATGTTAAAGATGTTTTCAGTAAGGTTTTCCACGTCAGAACTCTCTTCTGCATAAACTAAGTATAGAAAAACCAAACATTAAAAATCATTCAAATTATGAGAAGTTTACCAAAATAATTATGAAAAGAAATAAAATAATAATACTATATCATATAAAAATATATTAAAATAACCGTTAAATCGTGATTTTTCGTTTATAACCGTCAAAAAGCTTTGTCCCGTTACTTGATATTTAAATGTTTGTTTTTTGTGATTTTTTGTTGATGTGATCTCCAAGTATATACAAATAATTTTGATGGTTTGGATTGTTGAAATTAGTTTTGGAGAATTCGTATCCCATCAAAACGATAAATTGACTAACACTTAAGAGTTTATTTATACTTTCATTAAGTATAACATAAGATTTTGTGGTATCCACGTGTGTAAATATTTTAAATTGAAGATCGAATTCATTCATTGTATTCATATAGGGTAAAGGAGTGTAGCTATAAAAAATCATCAAAATCAGAGTTAAAATAATCGTTAAATCGTGATTTTTCGTTTATAACCGTCGAAAAGCTTTGTCCCGTTACTTGATCTCTGAATATTTGTTTTTTGTGATTTTTTGCTGATATGATCTCCAAGCATATACAAACAAGTTTGACAGTTTGAATCGTTGAAATTAGTTTTGAAGAATTTGTATCCCATCAAAACGATAGATTGACTAACACTTAGAGTTTATTTATACTTTCATTAAGTATAACATAAGATTTGTGGTATACACTTGTGTAATATATTTTAAATTGAAGATCGAATTCATTCATTGTATTCATATAGGGTCAAGGAGTGTAGCTGTAAAAAAAATATCAAAATCGGAGTTAAAATAACCGTTAAATCGTGATTTTTTGTTTATAACCGTCGAAAAGCTTTGTCTCGTTACTTGATCTATGAATGTTTGTTTTTTGTGATTTTTTGCTGATGTGATCTCAAAGCATATACAAACAAGTTTGACGGTTGGGATCATTGAAATTAGTTTAAGAGAATTCGTATCCCATAAAAACAATAGATTAACTAACACTTAGAGTTTATTTATACTTTCATCAAGTATAACATAAGATTTTGTGATATCCACTTGTGTAAATATTTTAAATTGAAGATCGAATTCATTCATTGTATTCATATAGGGTAAAGAAGTGTAGCTATAAAAAATCATCAAAATCGAAGTTAAAATAACCGTTAAATCGTGATTTTTAGTTTATAACCGTCGAAAAGCTTTGTCGCGTTGCTTGATCTCTGAATGTTTCTTTTTTGCGATTTTTTGTTGATGTGATCCCAAAGCATATACAAACAAGTTTGATAGTTGGGATCGTTGAAATTAGTTTCGGAAAATTCGTATCCCATCAAATTCCAATGGCGTGTATATATATATATATATATATTTATTAAGTAGATTTAAATCTATTTATTTTGTACGTACAATTGACTGGTACACGGAGTAGTACATCACGTGTGACATTATAAAAATAGTGAGATATGTTATATGTGTGATAAAAAGTTAATAACTTAAAAAAAAAAAAAAAAAATTTCTCACCACTTCTATTAATTTTCATTTTTCCCTTTCTTTTTTGTTTCATTTTCAACTTTTCTTATAATTTTCACTTTTCCCTCCAGCATCTTTCCCTAATTCCCTCACTTTTTTGTTTCATTTTCAACTTTTCTTATAATTTTCACTTTTCCCTCCAGCATCTTTCTCTAATTCCCTCACTTTTTTGTTTCATTTTCAACTTTTCCTATCATTTTCATTTTCCCTCCATTTTTCTTCAAAAATACGGTAGGAATGGAATGGAATGGAATCAAATCAACGGATGCATCATGCATCATGCATATTAATTAATAATTATTATAGTTTTTTATAAAATTTAATTCAAAATTTAATATATATAATTATTATAGACTTTATAGTTAATTTAATATATATATATATATATTTATTATAGTTTTTAGGGATATAAAATTGTTAAATTAATGTATATAATTATTACAGTATTTTTTTAGGGTTATAAAATTATAAAAATAATATTCTGCTTATAGTGTATCGTGTTACCCACGTGTATACCCGAATCAACCCGTTATCTTAACAAGTGCTTATCGGGTTACCCGATAACGACCCGATTCGTTATCGTGTCGACCCAAACGCTTATTAATTTCGTGTCGTGTGTTATCGGGTCGTGTCAGGAATTACCAGGCCTACTGGTGGGACACCAAAACACATGGGTCGGACCAATCACATGTTGAGGCAACATAACTTACAATTTTCTACCAATGGTAGAGAAGCATCTCTAGTAGGTTGGACAGTCCGATCCTTTATATTTTGGTGTGACTCAACCTCTGAAATTCAAGTTTGGTTCGGTTTCAAAGCGTTGTAAAATTATGAATCCAAGTCAACTAGATGACCTAATTTGTGGTAGATTGAGGCCCAAAACCATTGGACCGGTTAACCCAGATTTATTCAAATGGGAAGGATTGATTGCAACCTACCAAACACAAGAGTGAACATATTTTTAGCATTACCATAAAATCTAGCCACATTTATTGCCTTGTAATACGATTCTTGTTTTTTTAATTTTGATAAGATATGATTTTGTACTTAAGATTCAAGAAATGATCTTTCTATACCAGAAGAATTACTGGATCGGACGCGTCAGATCAACAATCAAAGATTGTTTTCGTAATTGCCATAATTTAAATACCAATTTTTGGTTAAGAATAATATTTGGATTTCATTTCCTGAATTTGCACCATTGAGTTTTACTATATATAAATGCTCTTATAGGTGCTCTTCATCACAGTTGACTCCGAAATTCCGAGATATAATCTTTATATTTTACTGAATTTCTGTGGTCACAGATATCCGTGTTGTCTTAATATTTGATTAGCCATGGCTTTCGTGAAGGATTACTCACTGGTTTCTTCCGTGGTAATGGTGGTGGCTTTGTTTGGGGTGTGTTTTGGTGGTACTGTGTACAAGGTGGGTGACTCCCATGGGTGGACAGCCAAAGATGGTTTTAATTACAAGGAATGGGCAGCTAGCAAGACCTTTTATGTTGGAGACACCATCGGTAATAAGCAATTGTTTCCCCTTATTTTTCACCCTATTTTGATATGGATTTAACTAGGGTTTCTGATAAAGATTAATTAGGGTTTTGTTCTTTCCTGTGCGCAGTTATATATGCTTGTGGTTTAATCTTATTGTATAAATGGGGCTATGATTGTTTGATATAGTCTTTACTTTGTCAGAAGATGTTTGAGTTTGAACTTTGTGGGAGTAACCATTAAATTAAATTTCATGATGTGAAACCCTATATCACTTGTTTGTAAAAATAAATTAAAAAACTTTAAAATTTGGTATTATGAGACTATTTTCTAATATGTGAGGATAGGTAGGTTTTTTTTTTTTCTAAAAAAAAAAGGGGAATAGCTGGTGGTTTTGTTACGGCAGCCCACCCTTCCGTGAAATAAATATCAACCTAACCAAGAACTAGTTGTTGTGTTCTCAATTTAGTATAATCCTCGCTCATGAGTATTTCGATACCATATTTTTTTTTCCTAAATAAAGCTCCTAAAAGTCCATTTTATTGTCAAAATTGCTTAAAACATTGTTTTGAAGAGAAAAAAAAAATCATAAACTCAACTTTATTTATTCACACTATTATAAGCTTATAGCACCCGAAATTACGTTGATAGTGGATAGGTTTTTTTCTCTGAATATTTTTTATTTTCAAATGTTTCTCTCCAACGCCACGTTCTTTTAGTGGTAGCGCAAATCAACTATCTTTACAGTGTGGTATTATTGCATGTGCAGTTTTTGAGTACAATGCCAAGGAGCACAATGTGGCCCAAGTGACCCACGGAAATTTCAATGCCTGCAACTCAACGGATGCAATCACCACCACCGCCTCCGGCAACGACAGTATAAAGTTGACGAAACCTGAACACTTGTTCTACATTTGCGGTGCCCCCGGTCACTGCCAGGCCGGCCAGAAGGTTGACATCAGAGTTGTTGCTTCATCATCAAGCCCTAATGCATCAAGTCCGAGTCACACCCCACCACCCAGTTCTTCAAACCCTAATGCATCAAGTCCGAGTCACACCCCAGCTCCCAGTTCTTCAAACCCTAATGCATCAATTTCACCTGCTCCTGTCTCACCCAAGAAGAGCAGTGCTCCATTTGTCCAGTCTTCTAATGGGCTACTTATACTTGTGATGATTATGGGGGTTCTTGCTTCTTTTTATGAATAGTGTAATTGGTTTTTGTTATTCGTTTGTTTTATATAACGGAGCTTAGAGGTGGGGGTTAGGCTAAGTTTCACAATGAATTATCAATAATTTGGTATATAAATGTTGTTTTTGATAATTGAACTTAAGATATTCCACTTTCAAGTGAAAAATTAGTTGTTTTAATGTAATTAGAACATAGATTAATTTCTTTAATTATCCGTTACAGATGTCGATAAAACTAAATTTAATCGTATTGTTGAGTAAGCCCTAATACCTAATTGTTTTGATGATGCCATGAAAGTAAGGTCACTTGATATATAATAAGATGATTGCAGAAATTAGTACGTATGTAGCAGTACACATTTCAGTACATGTTCAGGTTGGCCAATGCAAGAGGAAGAGACAAAAAGCAAAACACCGTTTGGTGGTCATTTTTAGCTAATTTTTATTTACAAGAAATGATAGAGTGAATATGCTCAAACAAACAACTTGATTGAATCTCTAAATGGCTATCACATGCACGAAAAACTACAACTTCTCCCAACATAAATCTGTTATAATGACGATAAAAGTAACAGATTGTACAAACGACTACAACCGGCCAACGCCGAATATGAGGCCACACAAAGTCATCGCAACGGATTCTTTGACACGCTTTGCAAAATTGCTTTTGCAGTTTTTAAGTACGAAGCCAATAAGCAAGGTGTTATGCAACTTGAAGTAAAACATTTCGAAAAGTGCAAGACAAAACATCCAATGGTTACCCTTTCACTCTAGCAGAGATCATAATGTGCGCATACATTTAAAGTCTTAGTCCATCACGTTTAAGTTCGAGCCCAATCCCTTAGAACCCAAGCCCAACTCACTCAGATCCAAGCCCAGCCCCTCAGCCACGCTCCAAGCCCTACTGAAAGCCCAAGCCCAAGCCACCGGACCAAGGCCAAGCCATACTCCAGCCCATCCTAGGGCCCATCCAAAGGGTACCTATCATGCAAGTTTTGATGGCTGTGGCGGTCCTGGCTTAAATTCCTTAAGATGAGTTCATGAAAAATACTCTTTCATTTAATTTTATTGAAATATTATTAATTTTGGTTTTAGTGTTAATATCTCCAACCCCATCATTATTTTGGTGTTTATTAATATTTTGTATGCTGTTTCATATATCAATAATAAAGTATCTATGTTGATGATAATTTATTCGTTATTTTAGTAGAATTTTGATACTTTGATTTATATTTTTAATGTAGGACATTCGACTTTCTTTAGAGGAAAAAGTAGTGAAACAGATGAATTTTGGAGTGATTCCAATTGAAGGATGTTCATGAGTCTGTTAACTTGTTCAGGTCAAAGTTTTGGATTTTTCTACCGAGCGATTTATTTATAGCGATGAAATAAAGGAGCAGCATAGAGTGCTGCCAAACTGATGTTTTGGGCTTCTTTGGGCTTTTTGACGTCCAAAATGGTGTCTTTTGGGTTCGAGGCTTTCTGCAATTATGTTTAAGACATCTCAAGCTTTAATTCAAGTCTTTTTGGGCATGTGTTTGGAGCCCTGTAAGTCAAAAAACGTGGCTGATTTGTGGCTGGGCAGATTTCCCATATTTGATTAGGATTATGTTTCCTATTTTATTTGGTTTCCTAGTATTATTCTAAGACCTTTTCTAGGTAGGGTTTTATTTTCTAGTAGTATAAATAAGGCTATTAAGCCATGAGAGAAAAGAGGGGAGGAGAGAAAGCAATACTTTGCCTTTAGAGAGATTTTGACGATTCAAGTTTACTTTCAAGGTGTTTTCTATCCATGTTTTAATAATATTTTGTGTTATGATTGTTAGTAACTAGTTTCGTTTGCTAGAGCGAGGCTGCGAGCCTTAGCAATAATATGTAGTTTCTTTTCAATTTAGTTATGAATTTATGCATGCGAGTTTTGAATTATTAATCACCAGTTTAAATTATCTAATTGTTTTAATGATTGGCCATCATTAGGATATTTAGAAAAGTAATTTGATGCAATTTTGACGAAGGGTTGTCCCTAAAATTGACTAAGGCTTCTTGTGGTTAATATGTGTAACTTCTTAGGATGGATGACACGTATTAAAAGTTGAATGGTTTTTCAAAAGATTTTCACAAAACTTAATAAGTTTTGCATGTTCACATTCGATATGGACTGCTACGGACAGGTTGCATGTTAGATATACGTTCTAAGTTTGAGGTTCCAAGTAGGATATATATTAGAAAACCTAACCTTCAAAATATGCATGTGTAATTCATAAGTAATTGGAAGAACTACGTAGGATTGTTAGGTGATGGCGGAACCCTAATGCGTAAATAGATTTTCAAACTATTTTCTTTTGTCTTATTTACTTTGCCAATTTATTTAATTAATTGTAATTAAATTCGTTTTTAATATTTTAGGTCATAAAATCAACCTCTTCCAAATTTTGTCTTGAAATAATTAATTAAGATTTGGTATTTACATAAATTATTCATTTAATCCTTGTGGAGAACGACATTGCTTGAGCCGCTATACTACGATAACCTTGTACTCTTGCCGGTATTTTTAAGTGTTTTTATCTCTACTTTTGCATGTGGTAAAATCCCTATCATTTGTTCTTAATCTTAATTACTTTAATTAGATTAAGTTTGCTTATCCCTTTGATTTGATGGACCAGGATCCTCTCCTAATCTAAGGATGAGGATCCTCATGACCAAGGGATGTGGGCCATTGGATAAAAATCCAACGGTTATAATTATTATAACTTTAAAGGGACCCCCCTGTTTGTAGCCGATGGATTTTCATCCAACGGCCCACATCCCTTGGTCATGAGGATCCTCATCCTTAGATTAGGAGATGATCCTGATCCTGATTTGATCTTCTCTTTTTCTTATTTGTTGGGTTTGAGTATTGGACAATTTACTTTAGCAATTAGTCACATTATACCGATGTCGTTTCAATATGTGACAATAATGTAGATAGTGTCTCATTATATCGATATCTGATAGTTTGCGATTTAATATTGATGTGGCATAAACCAAGTATCAAATATTGCATTGATACTGTCGATTTGATACAGTAATGTTTATTTAGAACGATTTTACAATATTAGAGGATCCAATCCCAACTCGAACCCTAAAAAGTGAAAAAATAAAATGAGAAGAAACTTCCTAAACAAATTAACATACCACCAAACATCTTGGCAAAAAAGAAACTTACCAAATACGCGTTTCAAACATGCTCACATAATGATGAGGCCTAAAAGCCCCTAAGACTTGACTGAGAAGTAAATATTACAATTTTCACGCCTATGATAGTGATATTGTTGGGTACAAAAAGTGATTAGTTGTTGAAGGATGGTCCATGTAACCCATTGTTTGGTGGAACACATTGTAAACTCTTGAAGAAAGATGGTGGAGTTTTGGAAATATAAAGAAATATCAAGGATGTGAAAGTTGAAGGCGACTCCAAGATGATTATAGCTGGGATTCCTGACCGTTGCAAGTTTTTTGGACGTTCAAAACTATTGTTGACGACATCAAATGGTTAGCAACCTCTTTTGATTCTAATAAGTGACGACATGTTTTTAGAAAAGCAAACTTTCTTGCAGGTGCTAGTACTTCTGTTGGTCAAAATGTTAGAAAACATTTGTGTAACACTAACATGCAACACTGAATTAATATATGAATCAAAATGACTGAGTTTGATTCAAGTTTACATTGGTGTTTTGAGTTTAATAGACTTAGCCCACTATACTCAAAACCTGAACTCATTCCTATACTATATGCCTCCAATATTTTGGTTTCATTATAAAATTAATTGACAATATGGAGAATAGTCCAAAGTATTTAGGACATGCAAGGTCCCTCATTTGCCTGATGTGGGATTGATACTCTCAACACTCCCCCTCACGTGTAACAAATTTTCAAGCCTAGTACGTGGACAACACAAATCGAGTAACGTGGAGTAGGTGTAGCCGTTGGGCTTCACGTTCGGGACAATCTGCTTTGATACCATGAAGAAAGTTGAGATTTCACCATAAAGTTAATTGGCAATATGGAGAGTAACCCAACTACTTATAATTAAAAACACATACAAGGTCCCTCATTTTTCCGATATGAGATTGATACTCTCATCATGGTGAATTGAAATAATTGCTAGGAAATTTCCCAAAAATAAATCAGAGGATATATTTTTTTGTGTATGATGATGGAGGGAAATCACTTTTCTTTGCTCTAGGAAATTTCTCAAAACGAAATCAGAGGATATATTTTTTTGTGTATGATAATGGAGGGAAATCACTTTTTTTTGCTGGTTCGATTTTAGACATGAATGTCGTACCAAATGTATCTTTCATATATCATTTATATATGAACGCAGAAGTTGTAACAGAGATGGGACTTTAATACTAAGATATGATGTGTGTTTGTCTGTGTGGTTGTGCATCCTGCCATGGATACCCTGTGATGAGAGACAGACTGTTTGGCACGTTTACAGATATTCACAGCAGAGATTGTAAAGTAGTACATCGGGGTAAAAATTAACTCAGCTAAAAGCGAGTCTCTCTTCTTTTTAACGCCCATGGGGACGTAAAAAGGCGATTTTATCAAGTTGTTCAGAACTAGGGTAATAAACTCATGAGCTTAGTCTTACTTCACCGTCTAAAAACGAAGAAGACTTCCATCTTCAAATTTAACTTAAACGTAGCTCGCATGATTTGTTTAATGCATCACTTAATTATGCTAATCAAGATTTTGCAGCAGTATCACATGAGATTTCAGATAATGCATCAATTAATTATGCTAATCAAGATTTTTTAGCGGTATCACATGAGATTTTAGAACTTTCTGTCGGATCATCATATCATCAGTTAAGATTCAACGAACTAATAAACCTGCAATTATAGCAATATATGGCACATTAGATCAAGTGGAGCAGTATCCAATGTTGCTAGCATTAGCTTCAAAGTTTATATGTTAATTGACTTTTCGGCGAGAGATTCTAAGCTATTTTGGGTTGTATGAGTCAATTG